CTCTTCACCCTCCCTTTTTATCCCCTTTTTATTGAGATTTTTTTAAGAATTATCAACTAATTTTAACACTTTCCAATTTTTACGTCTACTAAGAGAATATGGAGTCTTATCATTTATAAAGTAAAATGATAAGACATATTTCTAAGATTGTACTGAGACTGCAACATCAGTCCCAAAAGAGCTTAAAACATGCTGTCTCACCCTAGTCTTACAGCTGTCTAAATCTTACCTCAGTTTGCTTTGGTTTCTGTGACCTGTTCTCACTCTTCTGTGCAATAACTTGCACATTAAAGGTGAGAGAACAGTGAAAGAAGGAAATTAACTCCATGATAATGGGTACATAAAGTGTGAACCATGGCTCAGAGCTTCACAGTCAACTGCTGTGTGTCACACCTATGGCAATATCCTGCTTCTTGAGGATGCTTCCTCTTGTATCTACTGCAATGTTCTATGCCATCAGCTCCTGGTGGCTCGATGTGACAGATTGGAGTCAGAAAAGCAGATGTAATTCTTCTAACATAGCATGAAGTAGTATAACAAATCTTAGGAAGAAGGAGACTGTGGTAGTTCTTGGGGAGGGGGGAGTCCTTGACAATCCAAGACAATCAAATGTCAAAATCTAAAATCCAATATGAAAAAGTCCACATTTTAATTCCCCTCCTAATATTTCCCTCTTTACTGATTTCTGAAGCTTCCAGGACCTAGGACTGTTTTGGTCTGAAGAAGTGAAGACTTGAGTATGGGCTGCTAAATGAATCTAGACTGCTTTAAAGAGAGAGAAGGGAAAAGGGAATCATGTCTTTTGCAGGAATACATGTCACTCTTCACTCTGCATTAGCATGATCAGATCAACTATTTTGTGGCTTAGGCAGAAAAAAAATGTTTTTAAAAACAGATGACTGGAGTAGGTATCCTTAGCACATAAGTCACTAATGGCAGGGAGGGAAAATTGGTTGGCATGGGTGTGTCATTGGAACTGTTTAAAAAGAAAATGTAGATGCAGAATCTCTACCTTCTGTTACCATCTTGGAGCCAGAAATGGCAATTTCAGTGAACCCTGTAGCCAACAACCACATCAAAATTAAATAGTTCAAAAATTCAAAATATGAAAATACTAGAAAGATTATGTAGAACACTTATTTTAGTTATAAAAGTGACATAATTAATGTTTCATAAATTACTCCCAGATTAATAAAGTTATTGTGAATTTAGTACAAGCCCAGATAAAACTACAAAGTTAAACATAAATTTGGCCCCTCATTACTACAGTGACTGAGGGATGAGAATCAGATACAGTCCTTTGGTAACCTTTAGTCGTCCATCCCCATTCTATAGATAAAGGACAGCATGGTTTTTAACCCAGGTTCCAGGCCTGCACTCACTTTTACTTAATGTCAAGTCTTCCAGAAACGAACGACTGCACCAGCTCCAGCTCCATCTATTACACACAATAGCTGGACAGTGAGTTGGAGCAGCCTGGCTTCCTCCTTCCACCTATACCTTGAGGGGGGTGGGGTGGAGGAGAGGTGCGAATGATCAAGAGATGTCTGGGGTTCAGGGAACCTTCCCCTTTTCTTTCTGCCCCGTCAGGATGGAAAGTCAGAGGTAGATAAGACCAAAACCAAACGAAGAAGTAGATTCTGCATAGGGAGGCATGGAGTGAACCAAAAGTCATCTGGATATGGTGACTGTCAAGAAACCTCTCTTTCCACTCTTCCTTCACTCATCCATTAGGAGTCACCTCTGTCTGGGTCATAGGACCTGACACGCAGCCTCTGAGGCAGCGGAAGCCCACGCTGAGAGAGGCTGGAATCCTAAGAACCAAATTCAGTATTAAATATGCGAGAGGAAAGGAGACCTGAAGGAAAAAGGGTAGGTCGGCAGGGTCTCTTCTAACCGAAAGGAGAG